TGGTTACTTTATCTCCCCAAAGCCTGTGTGCAGAACTGTGCTGAAGAACGGTAACTGGGCAATAAATATGTAATGTTCTAAGTAGCTGGAATAATTTTGACTCAAACCCACTTCCTTTTGTCTTGACTTTAAAAAGGCGGCTCATGTGCATTTGATATAATGTTTTAAGATCATTACCCAGGGACATAGCCCTGGGGTGCCTTGCAGCATCCCACCAGCTGGCACCATGCACTGAAGAATGGGGATGTGCTAGCAAAGGGGAAAACCTGGTGACCAGCCTGACTGAATCACAAGCTGCACTTCGTATCTTGTGAAACGCTTTTCTCACAGAGTCCAGGACACCATTCCTAGCACACTTAAGTTGTCCACTCTCAGGTGTGAAGCCAGGTAACACCAAGACACAATAACAACATTTTCCACTTGGGAGTGTTTTCAGAAACAAAAGCTCACAGTAGTTACCCTGGCAAAACCGGAGGCAAATGAAAACAGTCACCAGTGGTCAGGGCATCCTGACACTTTCCATTCCAGGAACTGAGCTATTCTGTTGCTATGCCTGTTACTGATCTAACTGTTCAAAACAACAGCTTTCCATAGCAGCATTCAATCTCTAGCCAATTTGACTTCACAAGTTTCAGCAAAACTTGGGTCAGCTGTTTTGAAGAACAAGGTAGACTGTGAATGACTTTTGGTTTTCTTTGTTTGGAAGTTCTACAGAAGCACGTTACCCTGCGGCAAGAGAGCTGCTTTTGCTGTCCTTGTGAAAATATGCTTGGGATTTGGCAAGTTACAAAGCTTAATATATTATATCACTGTTTGGACATGCTCTGTAAAAGGTCAAAAAACTTCAATCTGCCCTGAATCCATTCATGGCAACAGGCATCTACTGGTTCTGGTCACTAGGTCAGCTCAGTGACTGAGGGAGACAGTCTTTCACACTCTGCGGTGTCTATTCCTTCTCCTAAGAAGTTAGCAAAACCAAATCCCATAACTGAAGTCAATGCCACACTGAACCAAATGTCATTAGAAAGCCCCCATAACACTCATTAACTTCCAGGCTTTTACCACATTCAAATTGTGCAACTATCCTTGCCAAGATCAAATGCTGAAACAAGTCTCCAAGAAAGCAGGTAACTGCCACAATGCCACCATCTCCCTCCTTCTCAGGAAAATACACGGGCACAAGAGGCAGCATAAACATCCCACTGCTGCTGCAAGGAAGGAAAAATTAAACCACTCTTAGGTGCAGGTACAGCATGCTGTAAGAAGGCCCCTGGAGGAGGAGAGGAAATATAAAGGGTATGCTCTGGTTACAGTGAAACCCAACAGAGGAGCTCTGTAGTGCATGCACTTTATTAAAAGCCACACATTTTACTTTAAGCCTGTTCCACCGTATTTGCCAAAGGAGGAGAAACCTCACATAGTGCCTCAAAACGTTTCTCCCCAGGAAATCCTCCCGTCTCCTTTGCACTGCTGATGTTGCTCAGAGCTGTCTGTCAGCTGACCTTTACAAGCACATTACCATGTTTGACAGCAACCCTCCACCACAAAAGTTTCCAGAGAAGTTCCCCCTCTCCTCGAGGTTTCTCATTTTCCCGACTGGCTGCAGAACGTTTTAGTGCTCTGCTAATTATACCAGCACTCAGATACAAACTCACCAAAATAGATGGTGTCCTGAGGCCCCAGCTGCAGGGAAACAGGCATCTTCTTTAAATAATCCAGGTAGAGAGGGCAAAAGGGGTCAGAAAGCACCCCTGAGCCACCTCCCACTGCAGGCAGCCCTGCAGGAACCAGCTCATGTCACTAATTAGGGTGCAGGCCCCAGAGCTTCAAAGGGACAGAGACTGACCAGGGGGGGTAATGCCATGAAGGAGATGCAGTGCCACAGCCTACTGTCAGCAGCACAAAGGGCCCTATTATTGCTCCCAAGAGCAGGGAAGTTCTTACCGTAATTAGGAGACAAAGATGCACGATTTAGGATTTTACATAATCAAGAGATACTCTCCCAAGGGGGAGCCTCTCTCACACAATCAGTGGATTAAGTATTGTTTATTCTGCTGCAAATAAACAATGAGGTGCTCCCTGCTCCGGGCTTTACATTAAAAAGCAGTACTGGGGAAGACAATGCAGGGTGTCTTTTCATCTGGCTTTGAACAGCTAACTCTGTGATTTAAAGTTGCTCATTTGACAGTATCTGGAAGGGTAATGACCCACCCTGTAAATTAGCTGCTCACATACTGATCACTGAACTGCCAGACAGTCTTACCTTTTCTGCTGCTTAGCAGAGGGGGGCTGGGACAGACAGACTCGGGCAGCCCTGAGGGCAAGAGGCTGTATTTACACAACAGCACTACAATGGAAGGATTAAAGGACCACAGGGGAGCTAGGCAGAAGCTCCTGCCCACCCGAGTACGTTGCTGCTGCTGCTGGGGATGCATCCTTAAAGGGAGGAAGGCTGGTACCGCCACCAAGGCAATGCATGCTGGTGCACCACTCCAGAGATGATGTCCCTAATCGTTTCTATACTAACTACTGGGGGAGCAAAAAGGAGTCAGAAGTTTGCCCTGTGGTTTACAAAGAAAGGCACGGTTAGGGAGACTGAGCATCACTTACATGATCACATGACAAAACAGTCTGTGCTGGGCTACTTAAAGCTGTAGCTCCAAACCAAGAACAGGTCCTGGTAAAATGACCCTACTTTTACAACACTGGCAATAAAAATAGACTGAGGGTGTTCTGCACCCTGTCCTTTGCTCATAACGCAGCTGCTAGGCTTGTTTGTTTGTACTTTGGGGAGAGTTCTTCCTCCTTGTCTTCTACAATAAGGACTTGATGAACACCTTCTAACACTTTGCAGTTTGCTCCCCTGCCATGAGCACACCCATACACACATACCTTCTGCTCTGGTACTCCAGCAAAATCTTCCCTTTTCTTCATTTCTTTCACTCAAAAAAACAAACCTTAAGCATCAGCAGGAGGAATTATTTCATTCACATGAACTCAGGACAGAATGCCAAGCCATGTTCAGCATATCTTCTTGATTCCTACAGTCTTGCAGAACCCTGGGAACCAGAGATTATAGCCTCTGCCTGCAAAGCGTTTTAACCCATTTCCTTTGGGATGAGTCACCTTAACAGCGGCCCAGACTGCTCTGCTTACCAGAGGATTTTCTGTTTGGTTGGGCCAAGCACACAGTGTCATTTGACTTGTCTAGACTAGGACAAAAGATGTGTTTTAAACCATGCAGGCAGGGCAAGCTGTGTTTGAATATGTTAGCTGACCAGGGAGAACCACAGCCTCCTTGTTCTGTCCTATCTCCACTGATACATTCTAAATTACTAAACTAAGTACTTGACGAAAAACCCTACCATCATCTAGACAAGTCCATGAAGACCAGCATCCCAGCACCACCCTTAACTGATGACCACATAGCTTGACAATCATGGCTTTGATTTAGGGGCACATTTTAGTCTCTGTTGCTCAACCGAGTCAAGGCTAGCAAAATCCATTTCAGGAGAATATTATCCAAAAGCAAGTCCCCCAATCCTAGAGAACAAGTTGCATGAAGAGGAACAGCATGTTTGCATAGCCATTGTGTCTTTCTGCCTTGCCACAGCAGACTGCAAAGCTGCCATGCTAGAAGGGTATTCATTCTGTTAACTTTTATCCATCACTTGGAGCAAGAGAACCCACCTGTCCTCTCAGCTACATGGCACAGAACTTTGCAAAGAAGTCATATCTTCATACAAGCTTTAAAATGAGGCTAATGCCAGGGTAAGTCTAATATAACAGTCGCTTTCTATAAGGTGTAAAGTGTATGGCAAGATTATCTCTGACTCCCTTTTGTGGGGATTGCAGAGCTCTTCCCAGAGAACAATTGTTTCAGCTTTGCTCTATAATGAAAATTTACTCCAGAAACAGCAGATTCCATATAATGCACTATTTGCTGGACCAAGCTTAAGAAAGAGGTTTCCAACTCCTGTTCCTAATAATTACAGCACTTACAATGATTTTAAAAAATGTTTTTATAAGTATTTACCAAGGTTTTCTTAAAGAAGGAAAATTTAATAGAAGTAATCCCATTTAACAGAACAGGATGGCTCTGCTCCATGCCATTCTGTTAAGAAACTGCATTCAGGAGAGGGTGTTGACACTTCAAGATGGTGAATTGTGCACCCTTCTGAAAAAATCAGAGTCCAGTGCCCCAAAATAAGCTTAAAACACTGACAAGCTTCTGCAAATGGACAATATCCTCTTCTGAAATAGCAGCTTTCCTACATGCATAAACCAGACTTGGAATATCTTTTATATCTTCATGTATCTGGCTCTATATTTTTCTATGATAAAAACCAGGAAATAAAAAAGTATCAAGAGTCCCAGAGGCAATTACTTGAACTAAAACACAACAGCCAAGCACCTTCCCCAGCAATTAATAACTAATTTTTCCTTGTTAAAAGAAGCTGATTTAAGCCAAAATCCACACCATTCCCTAACCTCAACAGGCAGAAAAGCATAACACATTTTATTGAAAGTCTGGAACCAGAAACTCATCTATCTTCACTCACTCCCACAACAGGCAACAAAACCTTTATATCCAGCTGCCACCTTCTCCCCAAACAGAGTAATCTTAGAGGTTGGTACCTGAATACTTTTATCAAGCTTTGCTTCATGTTTTAAGCATTTTTAGTTTAACTTGTTAAAATTCTGCCATGTTGGCATTCTGCAATTTTATATAACATCAGCAATGGGTTTGGAGGGGAGGAAGGGATGCTTTAATTTCTTCTAAAAACATTCCCAGCTATTAACTGGCAAGATTTCCCATACTTGCAAGAAAAATAACAAAACCAAGCGCTACAGCACCCTGATGACACAAGATGAGCAGAAGCATTTAAAAACCTGTACAAAGTCAGGAAGGGAGCAGGGGATAAATGGTTCCTGCCCTTCCCCAGCAGGCTCTCTAAGGCCACCAAGTGACCAGAAACACTCTCGGGACTATTTCTTACCTCAGAGAATTATCTGGATGTGTCTCCATGTGGGACTCCAGCCCATACTTGCAAAAAAAGTCTTTGAAACACACTGGACAATGATAAACTTCCTCCTCAGCCTTCTTATCCCCTTCACAGGAGTGACCATCCTCGACAACCTTCAGAAAGAGGAGAAAAAGCCTCGCTAGACCAAAGTTTAAGCAACATATCAAACATGCAACCCACTTGAAGTCTTTCTCTTAAAAACAAAGTAGCAGGCTTCAACCATAACTTTGCTGCAGGCGACCAGAAATGACTCATGTTGGTAACAGAGGGAGGGTAAGCAACAGAGCCTCTGTGTGTGTGTGAGAACGTGCACGGGAGAAAAGGAGGCTCGGTAGGAGATAAAGTGTGCAGCTAAGTCATTAATACATCAGTTCCAATGAGAAACTGCATCTGAAGAACTTATAAACCTGTATGTTTATATACCACTGAACCAGCAATCCTCACCATCTAGAAAGCCAAGTGAGCTGTCAGCCTAAATTATTTACGCCACTCAGATACTGCCAACTGCTAACTCAAGTGGTCCAGGGGAAAGCAATGAGTTTTCTGTAGCCCTCTTCTGATTACAGTGAGAAAAGCATGCACAGAATGAGGGATACTGTGCTAAATGGAACTGCTACTAGCTGGCCAGTTAGAGATAGCAAATGGAAAGGGTACAGTTAAGTTTGGCAGCCACCATACATTTTGTACAAATGACTGAAATGCACTAAAATGTTTCATAAACAAAATCCTAATGGAAATGTCTAGCCTTCAAATATTTTTCTGGTTTCTCTTGCAACTCCAGTAATGCCGGATTATGCTCCTGTGAAAGGGAAACGTACTACAGATTTTTTTCTCCAGTTCAAGACAGAAACAGACTTAAGCTGTTGCTGTTTTTGAAGTAAACACTAGTTTTTTACAAGTTCAAATCATTATCCAGCAAGATTATAACGAATTAAAGAAGAGAAAAAAAACCAACCTAGAGGAAAACTGCAGTAGCAAAAGAATAGTTCATCCTTTTGTCATCCAACATCAATTATCTAATGCAAATCATAAGCAACCCCAAATTTCAATAATGAAGAATTAAAAAAAAAATATCAATTCTTTCACTCTCCGAAATGAGAAATTACTTTTCAATCTCAGACAACAGTGTTGCCTATACAGGACAAGCACGGCATCTTAAAATATATATACAGGACTGTAAGATGCCCAGATCTGAGTATCTCTATGCTGACTGCCTGATCTGAACAGCTGACAGAGTTTAGGAGGTAACCATCTTTTGCTTCATGCCCCGTAAAGAACCTTTTTTGCAGGTATCCTCTCCTCTCTGTCCATCTCAGCATCGTGGCAAAACTTCCGTTTTGAAGACAATCGCCTGCGCTTCAGTGGTGAAGGGGGAGTTGTGGTCACTGTGCTGTTCGGATCCTTCTCATGAATCTTCATGTGCCTGGGCAGGAGGGGGAAGAAGACGCTGTCAGCAGCAAATCGGGGCAGAAAGCCTGAGTAAATTTTAATGCCAACACCACTTCTAAGGTTTGCCTTTAAAGGATACCAGCAGAAATCCCATAAACCAGACTGAACTTCTGCAGAACAGCTGGGGCACAATCCAGCATCAGTCCTCTGAAGCATGTGGGACTTTTTGGGACCACAGCAGGGAACCCTATAGCTCTCCCCCTTGTCCCAGCCCACAGCATGGCACTTGCCCTGCTGGCACATAGCCCCAGGAGCACCCTGCCTGTCTCACATCATCCCAGAGGCCTTGCTTCTGGTTAATACTGCACAGTAATTTACATGCCCTGCCTCCCAGTCTGGTGGAGGTCCAGTAAGTAAAAGCCTACAGCTTAGCATCCATTTCACCCAATGCAAAAAAAGCCTCCCATCTTCAGCTGGTCTCCTTTTATAGCTTTTATACCCCATCTGGACATGCCAACACCAGAGCAACACTTCTTAAAAGCATTTATTTCCTTCTCTTCCTTAACACACTGGTGTACCCCAATACTGAATTTCAACTGCAACTCTGAAGTCAAGATATATCTGGTCACACTGTTAAGCTGCAGCAGGTATGGCCTGCAAAACTCCATTACTGCCAAAGTATGTTCACAAACCTGCTTCCCCAGGAAAACAACTATTTGTTGTCACAAAGACACTGGGAAGGGGGGAGGGTCAAAACAGCTCAGGAAGCAATCTCATGAATATCTGTATACCTGACCCAACTGCCTCTTAGTGTTCTGTATTTGCAACGTGAGGAAGACACTGTTGCCTAGTTCCCTTCAGTTAGATGAAGGGTACTGCACCTGTGCTTTTTCTGAATTCTCAAAGCTCAATTTTTATGTTGTTTTTTTTTTTTTTTTTTATGTAGGGCCTTTAGCCTCACTTCAAATTTACAATGCTTTTGAAAAAATCAAACTTAAGCTCTTATAGGCAATGCAGATCTTTGCTTCTAATAACTAGAAATGGGAGTGCAGGAGAAAGTTGCCCTTTGTCCATATGACTGACTTCAAAGCAGCAGGAGGGAGACAATGTCATCGTCATTCAGGCACATCCTTCAGAAGTCACACCCACAGCTCGGCTCAGGACCGTGCCATTTAACTCGACTGCATGCTATCATGTTCAAACATGAGAGAATGTTGTAACCTAGAGTCTCCTATGTCCTCATAACTGTTTGGATGTTATGACATAAAATCTGTTTCAGTTTTGGATGCCAACGGCATGATGCTTCAAGATAACACGCTGGACCAAACTGACCCACAGGCAAAATAGGACTAGAACTGCTGGAAGGACTGTCTCTTCACACAATGCTATTTTTAATGTTTCCTTTCACAACTGATGAACCTTTAAGAAAAAAAAAAAAAAAACCCAAACAGAAGGCAGCTAAATTACCGTCTCAAACTACAGCCAGGCTTCTGAGAGTATTCTCGGGAACAGCCTCAAGCCAAAAGCACCACATGTACCAGAACCGATGCAACATTACAGTGGCTGTCAACACTCAGCAAGGCTGGGGCTGCTTGGAGGACCAGGTCCACATACCCACCAGTAACTTCACTGGCCACACAAACGGTGGATGGACACTGGTGGCATCTGCCAGTCACTCTGTGGGAGGTTCACTAGGAGAGAGCATCTGCGCACAGATGTGCCCAGCAGGTTGGGCACAGCATCACGGAAACATTGCTTCATTTCTGTGACCTCTTTCCCTCCCCATCATCCAACTGGGAGCAGAAAGAAGGCTGAAGCTCTGAGGGTTTCCAGGTTTGACAAGACCCAGGGAGAAGCTGGAGTGCTGACACAGCCTCTGGAGTGTAATGCACCCCCCTGCCCCCTCTGGTAGCCCTACCACCACAGGCACCAATGCTAACTGATTTATCTGCATGAATCTAGTGCTCCCTGATCTCACAAAATCTGCAGGGAAGGCATCTACAGGTACTCTACTGCCTCCTTTTCTTTAGTCTCTCCCCCCTCACACCCATGGCACTCATCTAACTTCTTGTGCTAGCTTAAGTTTCCTATGGGTCATAAATCAACAGTGTGAGGAGCAGTTGTCTGTATTCACGCAAGAATAAGGGAGAAGAAGCCAGTTACTTGTTCTGCCTGCAATGGTTGAAGATAAAACACAAACATCTGGGAACAAAAAACCGTAGTGTGCAACAGCACAGGCAAAGCAAAACCTGGAAGGTGGTTTGTTGGTCTTTTTTGTTTTTCTTTCTGGTAAGGACTGCTTTCCAGTTTTGATGAGCTCTTTAAAGTTAGAAAGCAACATTTTGCATGTGCCTTTCTGTCCCTCCACCCCAGACGCACACACATGGCCTGCATGCTTAACCTTCTGGCAGCTTGGGTGATGCACAGCTAGTATTACTTGGCCAGTTACTTTTCACATAGCTAGAGAGCAAAAGCAGTCAAGCTAAATCACATTCACCCAGAAAACAAACGATAAAAAAAACCTGCTATGTATTAAGTGTGAGACTTTTTGTTCCTATTTTCTTTTAAAGTCTCTTTTCTCACAGTAATGAGTATGAAGAACTCCTGTTTAGTAGCTACTATGCAAAACAGCTTCCCTGGGGCTAAGTTCTTTCTTCCTACTGATGTCCACCTGTTGAACGCTGTTCTGATGGGTACAATGACACATCCACAGCATATCAACGGGAGAAACTGCTGAGACCTCCAGGTTAGTGCCAGTCCAACCTGGCACCTCTGCCTGGCATGACCAAATGCATGCAAACACACTGGCTCCTGCAAGTCTCAGAAGCAGGCCAGCCATGTTCGAATATAATATATGCTAATAAGGCAGGGCTTGCTAATGTGTATGCAGCACCACAGAGATGAGGCTTTGCTATGCCTGGTGTCACTCACTGGCTGCCCTCAGCTTGCAGCTCTTCCTGCAATGCACATGCTTTTGCCATGCCCTAAAAGCCAGAGTGGAATCCGTACCCACAGCAAGGAATGTGGTAATCCCTTCATGTTTTAGTTTTGCATATTTGAAAGGAAGCAGCCTGAGCTATTGAGCTATAAACAGGAAGACACCCTGACTACACCTTTGACTTTTAGTCTGTAGGTCAAATATCACAGCCACTGTGATAGCTCTCTGCATGCGATCATTAAGGAAAAAAGAAGAATCTGAAACCAAAGCAGCAGGTTCCAGAGTTCTCAAGAAGAGTCATAACCTGTCCACAGTACAGCCAGCAGGTTTGTTCCTTTGGCAGGTTAAGCGAGTTTCACTACATCAAGGCAAGGGTGGAGAGGAAAGAGATTACTAGAGCCCAAGATAAGCGGGAAGATAAAGCTGAGCAGTACAAAGGATAGACACAATCTTCATCTCTATTTTACTTTGCAACATGGATGTCATTCTGCCTGAAGAAAACATTTATCACTCAATTTGGGCTGAACTACAGCAGATGCCAAGTCACATCCACATCCACAGACTTTCTTTTAAAGCTAAACACTCCCTTCACCAAGGCTTCTTTTACTTAAAAAGTTTCCTAACTATAATTAAGGGGAGAAAGCAGGGAAGTATTTATGTTGCCTTATCCTCCTTTAGAAGAGTTTGCCTTGATTAGATCTTACATCTAACACTGAAAATGCTCGACCTCACTGCTTAGCCTGCCAAGATACAAGGAGAACAGGAACAAAGCTGTGCTTAGAAGTTATTTTCCCATTGTGACTATAACAACATATTTTGGCCTGACAACACTGGCATACTTTGAATACGAAAGCCAGGCTCATAAGTCAGCCTGGCTTTCAGCATCTTACAATGATAAAGGAAAATGAGATGACATTCATCAGTTAAAAAAAAAAATAAAGATAAACACTCAACACTGGAAGTGAGAATGTGGTGCAAAAAAAAAGGGCAAAATAAGGGCATGCACAGAAATGCTCATACTCAGCCACAGATGCAAGTTACAGTAATGTACCAGCAGCTCTGAAGTGACCAGTTGCAGCTCAGAAGAGAGCCAGAGCCACAGCAGATGAAACCTGGCTTTTCTTTTTCCTAATATAAATAAATGAATCATGGCTCCGAGCCATCCTACAAAGCAACTCAAGAACTGCAGCCAAACTCGGGAAGGTACAGAGCCCTGAAACCTGAACTTAGTACTGTGGTTGTTAAGTCTCCCCAGCATGCATGCAAGTACACATACACTTGGGCAGTACTGGTGGTGGAACACTAAAATGCAACTACAATACACAAGATGAAAGGAAGGAGATAAAAATTTGAGCTTAATATTAGGGAGGGCTCTCTTGCACCTAGTGCTAGCTAGCCTTGATTAACCTCTCAGAGAAGGTGGTGGAAGTCTACTTAAAATGAGACCAGAGTCAGAAGAATTTGCAAAGAAATTAAGTATTTTTCAAACAAGGTCTGATCCACCTCTGATCTAAACTCTTAGTGTTTAAGAATTGCTATGCAAAAACGCAGGTAACTTGCTACACACTATGCTTTTTGCAGCACAGATGTATGTTGAAAAGCACTCCTTGTACTCTCTTCCCTTCTCCTCACACAAGGAATTTCTCAGGTGAGCCAGGAGGATCCAGCTGTGTTATGACTCTGTGCCAGTCAGCCCTCCCAACAAAAACCAGTTGCATTTTTCAAGGGCTGGACTGCCTTTCATTCCATCCTCCCCATGAGACTCACCTTCCTCTTCCCCTCTTCTACCACAACTTTCCTCTCCCCTCTAATAGTCACGTGAACAGGATGACCAAAATCATACTGCACAAGCATTTCCCCAGCTTCTTTCCTTATTTTTCCCCCATTTTTTAAAGCACATGGACAGAAGAACTTTTCAGCCACACACTGTGATGCAGAGCATGATTTCAGACGGGTGACTATTCCACCAGAACAGCAGCATGTGAATACTTTGCTACTTTACATCAAAGAAAAGACTTCTGCAGTAATAAACCAATGCAGAACTGAAGTGTCTTACTCCTTTTTCTCTCCATGGATGGTGTTGGATGAGTGCCTCA